GGTGTTTGTTTATGTCAGCCATTTTAGTTATTAACTGTCGGAAGAACGAGTTGAAACGAATTCCGAAAGCTTTATATACAAATAGCTTCGTTATGAGTTTTCAGTTGACGGATTAGGTGGATTTTAGAGATATTACAATTAAGGAATCACATTGTAGAATTTTATCATAAGGAAGTTAGTGAAATTAAATTCCTTTCTTTGCTGTATTTTAATTTATTTTTATAAGCTCTGCTTTTAGGGTTCCTTAGTTACACAACAAGGATTATAGTTACGCCATCTATATCCGTCCGTACGTGATTTTACTCAGAGACCTTAGGTGCTACAAATCCGACATAGTTATAGATATTAATCATGCTTACAAAAGTGTGTAATAAATATTTATATTTTAGGTACCTCCCATAAAGGTAAATGAATGATGATTTTTTTACGTGTCTATTCCATCGTAAGGGGTATTGTTGGATAGGTTTTTATAAAACACGGGGATATGGAAGTACATCTTTTCGCTTCGCGGGTCCGTTTGCGAAATATCTAGCTTTAAAGTGGTATTTTCCTTTAGACCCCCCCCCGTTATACTAACTAAACCACTATTTCTTATAAATGTGAAAAGTATTCACGATAATCTAAATGTAAATTACGTGTCACGTTGTTTGTCCGCGATGGACTCCTAAACTACTTGACCGATTTTAATCAAATTTGCACACCGTGCGCAGATTGGTCCAACTTGAGAGATAGGATAGTTTTTTGCCCATGAGTGACCCACAATTTTTTGCGAAACTAAGGATTTTTAATAGGACATGACAAAGGGTCGTCGAAAAGGGCAGAGCAACGTCTGTCTGGCAAGCTAGTAGTATATATAATGAAATAAAAAGAAAACTATCGATATAATAGTCGACCAACTCATAAAATGCACTTGGATTAGTAAAAATCTCGTTGCGACTCTGAAGAAAATAACCTAAAACTAGTATATAATAATATATCAAAGTATTCATACAATTATATAGCCTCATACAGTTTCATTTGTCATACTCTTGGTTTACCTGGGATATTATTATAGATAATTTGGGACAGTGGTGGTTTATGGAAAGGTTCGTTACCTTAAATATCTTAAGGTTGCACTGTCAGGAATATAAAAGTAGATAGTCAACTATGACCATCTTTGTACGGACTTGCCATGTTAATGATTTGATGTAAATTGTATTATTTTCAAATACGAAAAATATTTTTAATCTTTTTTGAATACTTTCTTTGAATCTTTTTTGATTTTAAAATAAGTCTTTCAGTTACCATCCTCCGATTTGGGCTCATTTTAGTCGTTATAATTGTCATACTGCGAACTCACCTATTATACTCATTATCACGAAAGCTTACGTATTGTAACAGGCAATAACGGAAATCTACTTCTACATTGTGCGTGAATCGACACGCACTTAGCCAGTTTTTTTTTTCGTGTGTAATAACCATGAAACATTGAAAAAAGGGATCAAATAAATATCCGCTGCAATATACCATTGCGTGTGGTCTATCATCTGGAGTACACATGTATTAATCGTTCGTTTCTAGTCACGTTATCATTCAAGTATTGATTCAAGTATTGATTCAAACCGGGTCATTCGTAAAAATGGGTTTCGTCGGTACTCTATAATCTGTAGAGACCCGCTCGATTCTGTCGATAGTCGGTCATTACTATACTTTGTGGTTAATGGGTACTTGTGTGCTGTGGTCATTTGGTTTCAAACACAAATAAATACTACTTAATTTTACAGTTTATTTATTTATTTACTGCATAGTGTTATCAAGTTACTCAGTGTAAATTATATAATATTTTTAATAACATTTACTGCTTCATAATAAAATGCAATTGTATCTTTTAAACATGTGCTCGAAAGATAAAGTAGTATTTCATTGATTTCAAGTACTTTCCACGATTATCTCAAACTCAAACTAACACACAAGCGTTTCAGCCTTATAATACTCGTACTGGTATAGATTAGCTGAAGCGATTATCACAATTATTTTGAATAATAAGTGGAATAAAGCCTATTCGGAAAATACTTTAACATTCACAATTCGTACAAACAGTCTACCATAGGTCACAGGTTAAAAAGGTCCTATCAATAGTTGGTAACGAATCCTTCGCAAACACGATTGCATTCATCAATACTTTTGCATGACCCGGATCAAGTGATCGAATCATTTAAAATTCACACATGCTTAATCTGGAAGCTTTGATCTTCAAACAGGTGGAAAATAGGGGCAATGATATTTATAAAAATCCAGGCATTCTCCAATTACTTCTAATCCAACACGGTGATAAAGTGAATCCGACCGAAAATTATTTAAGTATTCAACCAAAGGCTTAAAAACTCCTCAGTTCAGGCCTATTAAGGCTTGAATTAGGTTGCAACCTAATGGTTAAGGCAATAAAAACTTGTGACTTTTGTCCAAAAACTACTGGAAACGCAACTTATCCCCGGTACTCGAAACCGACGTAACTATATTTGGAGAGATGGTTTTAACCAAACAGATCTTTGAGTGTAATCAACCGAATTTCATTTAAGTAGAAAAGGAAGATGGGCGAATGTTGGATATGTGCATCTCAAGATCATACAATGTGCAGAAGAACGGAACGAAGACGGTAAGTACCAACAGATGGATGATGAAATCTGACAATTGTTGCGGCAAAAGCAGGTATTGCTTATTCCGCTGATTCTTTCCACTACCTGAATTGTTTCTAAATCTTTTCTAAAAAAGCCGCAATCATAATTAACCGATATGACAGATATCAATTTTAAAAAAATAAAAAGGTGGGATTCGACTAACAGCTGATGTGATCTGTGAAAGAGCGCTAATATACGTGTATAAATAATGTCTTCCAGACTGAGTTTCGGTTACTGGGACAAGTCTCAACTAAGACAAGCCTTCTGCATTGGTCAGGATTATAGGACCTGAAACAGATTAGACGACGTTAATTACGTTGTTTTTACGTGCTTTTCGAGATACGCCGTAGAAACATCGCCAATATCCTGATTACTACGCTTCCTAACGATGTTTTTAGTGGTCAGAGTTAAAACCCGAAAGTTTTTGTTACTTGTAATGAGGAATTCTAGCTTAGTTCATAAGAACTGTCTTTAGTAGATAAGAACTGAACATACAGATGTGTGGTCACTAATAATAGTGACCACACATCTGTATGTTGATTCTTATGAGTCTCAGCATCAACTTACTGTCTGGTAGACAGTGCATTTGTTTTTCAAAATAACTTGTACTTATAAATATAGATATCGGTGGTAAATGTAAAATTGGGGAAAATTAATTGAAGAAAGTTATTTCTAATTGTTCAACGTAATTTAGCCATCGATAAACAGATGGTGTTCAACGTAATTTAGTCATAGATAAACAGATGGAGTTGTGTTACCATTATGTTGCAATAGTTAGCATCACAGATGATAGATGTCGTTGTACAGTAATTGTATTGATTGTGTTGCAATAGTTAGCATCATCGATGGCAGATGGCGTTGCACGGTAATTGTGTCGCGGTGTGGTTTGACTGACTTTATTTTCCTAAAGGCCGTCAATATACAATCCACGCGCTCTCTTCTAAGCGGCTTTCGCCGCTTGCGCCCTCCTTTCTGCCAAGGAGGGTCGCGTTCGTATACGGCTTAGAGATCTCTAGTCAGATCGTTAAGCCAGTTCCTAAAAGGTTGGGTTTAGTGGGTAAAAGTCACCACATAACCACGCAGCCGGCTGCGTGGTATGCTATGAGCATTCCCAACCTCTCTCCCCCGCTTTCCGGAGGGTTGCCCATATTTGCTTCGGGCGCAAAAAAAAAATCCACGCGCTCTCGCTACAATATATCGCGTAATAAATACTCTCAAATTTTTTGGAATTATTTCAATTAAGGAAGAAAGACGAACTTAAGAAATAATATAGATTTTTAAATTATCTAACCAATAGTATTTAATGTGTAATCCTCAAATGATTAGAGCGTTTCCTTTAACAACAGATGCATGTTATCAATAATTTTATTCATTTTTAAAAATAAATTTTAAATGAATAGATAACACATAAAAACTAATTAAAACGTGGAATGTGATGATAGGATATCGAACACTAATAATGTGCTTTTGGACATAGTTTATTTCTCATAACTAAAGAGATAATAGTCTCTGAAATACACACTTTCGCAAGGTTTTGATCGGGGCCTTAAGTAAAGTAGATAAATAATCACATAAGCTGTTTGATGACGCCTTAATTTTGAAAATTTGGAGAGAAAAAACCTAATTATAACCACTTCTATTTTTGGTATTTCTAAGAGTTTAAAAATATTTTAATGTTTGAAGTTTTATTTTATCATTATTGATTTTAATATGTCTGCCTTTTAATATTTTATTTATAATTATTACACAAGCTCTTAGGCAATCTTTGAGGGTATGAACTATGTATAATTATTTTGATCATCAAATTAATGATAAGGGTCTTTACTTCTTTGTTTATGTCATGTTAGAAATTCAAATTTGATATTTATTATGTACAAAATTTGTCAATTAACAACTTGAAATGTTTTATTAAAGGAAAAATGTACAAAAACTGTTATAAATAGCTTTCATAAGAATAAAGATGTTCATTAGGGTGGAGTGATAATGTAAGAAATTTTTTTTTTTGTTTTTTTTTTTTTGATTGCATAGCGATAAAAATTTGCCTTTCATTGAGTAAATCCTACATACAAAATATTATTTACTTATCATGATGTCTTGAGGTGCCCCAACACAATTGAAAATTTGAAAAAAGCGATGAATGTCGTAGCACACCAGGCGGGAACAAAGTTCCTTACGCTACTCTATATATACCTATGTGTTAGTGTAGTAGACACCATCAACAGAGTAACAGCTTAGGAATCGGTTAAATAAAGTCTGGTTAAATATAAAAAATACATATATTAAAAAAATAAGGTAAAACTAAGTAATTATGATAGATTTGGATATCGTTCAGAAACACAGTAATTAAATATTAAATTGTTTTTTTGTATCAAAATTTGGCATTTGCTGACGTGATAATAATCGTGCCCTTATGAAACCGTCTCGTTTATTTTCTCCACAAACTGCACTTGAATCTTCAGTCACCAATTTTATGCAGCGCTCTACGGCTTGGGTGTGGCATGGGAAATCTTTTATACTCTGACATGTTCTCAAACCGCATTTGACAATCTCTTTCAAGAATTCATCAGATAAATTGTAAGTCAGAGGTGGCTCAGTTATTTTACAGTCTTGCCACTTAATGAGGTCGGTATAATCTTCAGCATCGAAATTTAAAGGAGGCACTTTGAACGTTCGAAGTCCTTGATCATTCTCTGCTCTAGCTTTCAAAATTTGTTGACATGCTAGTTCTCGAATGATTTCTCTGTCATCTCCAAGCATAGCAATAAGAATATTTTCTGGGTGCCCGAAATATCCATTTCGTATGAGAACCTTATCAAACACTATCTTCAAATCCGCGCTCAAGTAGCGAGTCAGGCTAATCGTTTGCCACAGGTGCTTAGCTCCATTTATGCATGATGGATTACACTTTATAGTGAACCACATCGGACCATAAACTTTCATCACGTATGTGGCTAATATCATTAAGTTTTCTAGGGGGTCTGTTTTAGTAGCATATAATCTTAGAATTCGATTTGCTGTTGTAAGCCATCTAGAATGGCTAAGGGGTCCAGGTTCGATATTAGCCAAATCGGAAGTAAAGACGCCAGTGCTGATAGCGTTCATCACATCATAAAGATATTTTTGGTCGGTGCTCAAATCATTTCTAGGAATTTCAGGTAATGTTGAAGGAATGACGGTAAATTCGACAATTGGCATTGTTTCACATTTTTTGTAATTCAGAGCCGATAGGACCTGAAAAGCATTTAGGCCCTGTGGTTTTTCCATCCAAATGTAATAACAGATGTCGCAGTGGTAACTCATTTGAATGCAATTGGCAGATAAACCACTGTAATGGTTTCTTAAGTTCTTCTTCCATCAAACGAACAACACCACCTTTGGAACCTGTGTTCACGACAGTTCCATCGCAACCAACAACAGCTATTTTATTCAGATCCACCGATTTCATTTTCAGGTGACGTATAATTGTACTTTGAATACCTTTAGCGGTTCCCAACTCACACGTAACATGCCCGAAATAATCACTTCCTGGCTCCGATAAAATCACATAATGGTCTTCTGTTACTCTTTTTCTGTAAAATTTGCCTTCCTTCTTAATACTTACTAAACTCTTATCCTTTCTGCCATCAAAATAAATACCGCGTATGATTTTATTACGATCTGCGTCTTGTAAAGATGATCTGACTTTAGTTCTTTCACGACGCAACTTAGAACGATCAATGACACCACTTGGATCCTTCGTTGAAATAATGCCAACATCTTTTAACACAGAAGAAGCTATAATAGCAGCGGCTCTGTCGGAGACTCCAGTACGATCGCAAGCGAGGGCTAATGATGATAAATTTAACTTCTTTTTTTTTTGGTGGTGGTGGGGTTTTTGGTAGTCTCGCTACGTGTTTTGGCGATTGATAAGGACTAGAAGCTACGCTATTGCTTGAACTGGTGCTTTCGATCGTCAAGTCATCATCATCAGGCAACGAACGAGAACAACACGGTTTGTTGGGATCAAATATCTCTTTGTTACGCAATAAACTTTTTTCTTGTCTTTCTAGTTTTCTCTTATTTTTTACAGTTGTAACCAAATCTACACCACCTATCATCATTTTTCTTGTTGTCCTTTGGTCGAGTAAAAATTTTATTTCTTCCTTGGGAACACGACTGTCTTTTGAACAAGTGCAATCTGAAATAAGTTTGCATTTGCAACTGCAAACATCAAATAATCTATGACACTCAGTTATGAATGTATTTATCTTCTCTTGATATTTTTTGTTTAATTGACGGCCTCGATAAGGTTTCATTAAGCTTCTATATTTGTCATGGTAGGATCGAATAAGTTGTAATACTCTCTTAAGACTGACTGTTGGCAGCGACGCTTTTCGCCAAATTTCTAAAACTTCCTGAGCCAATCTTTCGGATATGTCATGAATTGTCGGCTCTTTTGTTTTTTTGTCAGGCTTTAATTCATATTTAATGAATAAATAATTTTTCATTACATCATTATAAGTTGGTAATTGAGCTACGGGTAACTTCTCTGGTAAACCAAACACAGGACAGGATGTCTTTTGTCGTGTTTTTACTTGCGACATTTGACTGTAATAAAGAGAAATAATAGGTATGAATTCAGTCAATTTTGATCTAAATTGCATTAACTATGAGCAGGAAATTGAAAATACTACTTACATGAGTCTTACTTCTTGATTTAAGTCGTTAAAATCAATGCTTTTCACAAGTGTAATAGTATTAAATCGCGCGCGCGGGTGCACTAAAAGGCATTCGAACGACGTTTGACGAGAGTAGTGTATTCACCTCCCCCGTGCCCCACAACCCCCGCTCCTCACCGCACACATTTCAAGGTCAAAATTGAATGTCTTGTACCAACAGGGTGACACTCTCAATATGACTTAGCGTTAATTAGACATTCGTGTGTTTTGACAAAATTTCGTGAATTTCTCTAAAGTTCATGATGTTGGGGGCACCTCCAAATATATCATATGTCAACCAAAATTTTGTGAGAATTTATTTGTAAGCTATAAGAGCAACTTTTTACAGGTATTACAAAACAATTACGAAAAAAAATTTTTTCGCTCCACCCTAATGTTCATACTTTAAACACTAGGACCAAAAATAGGCTTGTAATACCAGTTACCAGAATCCACTGTATCAGTAGTGCTTTTATGGGGCAATGTATTATACGCTTTTACAACGAAATTGCAAAAAATGTTCAAAATTTGTCAATTAACCAACTTGAAATGTTTTATTAAAGGAAAAATGTACAAAAAGTGTTATTATAATATCAAAGAATACATAAAATAACTCCTGGGTATGAGGTGATCGCAATCATGCTTGTATGTACTATTAAAATTTGTTTAAAAAATGATATTGTAAAGTGAAATATGTTTTAAAAATGTCACGCTGGGTTTCTTGTTGGTTCTTCCCAGGACAGTGGTATCAGTGGTAAATAAAACGCGATTTCCAATAAGTATTATGTAATAATCTATATTTAATTTAAAAAATGTTCTATTCTCTGTAATATAAGATATTTACTAACTAGTAGGGATATTGTATGAAGAAATCAATTGATATTGTGCAAATACTGTTAAATTTAACACATCTAATGTTATTCAATAACTAAGCAAAGAATTTTTAAACAATAAACGTTTTAAAAATAACTTGTTTTTATTTTTTGGTATAGGAACTTACAATTACCACAAGAAACATAAACAACTATTAATTACATTGCAGCATTTGCGCAATGTAATTAGTGGTTGTATATAAAATAAAAATATTAAAGTGCAAAAAGGGCGAGCCCAAAGCACCAATATTTTAACGCCATCTATTAGGCAAAACAAGAACTTTAAATAAAATTAAATTTGAGTCGCACATCTATCTCTAGTATATATACAGTAATCTATGGGTGATTCCAAAACATTATCTATAGTGGGATCCATACTGTGAACCACAGTGTAATTGTAATCTCGGTTGGGGATTAAACACTAATTAATAAACTTTTAAAATTAATATTCTTATTACGGACGAAAATGACTACAAAGTGAGTTTTATCCCCAGTTTTGAAACTGTTAATGAGAAAAACTCTCGTCATTTAATGACTGTTACTTTTTTAATAATATTTATGATCTGAATAAAGAAAAAGGAAAAAAATAAAACTCAAGCATTGTAATAAGTTTATTCATGAAATATGGAGTTCTAGATATTTACGGGGTCTATTCAATATGGGCGTTTTCAGTTTTTATCTGCAACGGTTACATAACCGATATCTAGTTTTAGTATCGTTATTGAAAACCGTTTTTAGTTATCGATACCAATAGTAATTGGTTTGCTACTGAACGTGCAAACGACAATAGAACCATAGCCGCAAACTGTACTACCAGTGCAACATGTATTTTATGAATTACATAGATTATTCTAGATTAGAAGTCAGAGGTTCTAATGTTATTGTTATCTTAGATGTAATATTTAAACATGTATGTTAATATATATTTTTGTATATTCAATGTTATGCAGTAATAAATTATACCATCACTGTTACAGCTTATTAAATTACACTGCTGAACACATAGGCCTCCTCATAGATTTTATCATAGGTGGGATATTTACCATAGTTGCCACGCTTGGCAAGCGGGTTGGCAACCACAGTTTTTTTGAAGTGAAACTTTTTACGGGAGGGCTTTGATTGAAATGCTGATCCGCAACCTTTTTGTATGACGCAACCTTTTTGAAAAGTGGTGGGTGTAAACACTACGTACGTACCGGGCATTCGGTCGATCATTCAAGTCGAAAACGCATGGCATTACATACCATAAAGTATATAGTAGTACAATTACAAGATTACAACGGTCTTTCGTTCAAATATTAATCTTATATTAATTTTATTTAAGACAGTTACCAAGGTACACGTATTAATTTTTGTAAGATTGAGCTGAGCGCACTTCAGTAATACCGCCATCTACTACGTTGTATAGGTAAAGATATTTTATCGAACAAACATTGATTGACTCTCAAGGTGGTATGTAGGATAGATGCTAGATGGCATAAACCTAAACAAAATTGCTGCCTATCTCCTCATTAGTTTCCTTATGTCGGGACGATAATCGGGTAAATAAAGTTACGTTCATTCTATCCTTATTTATTTCTATAATTTTGTTACCCAATTTTTTTCAAATTGAGACGTAGGATCAGAGTCTGATTTCAAAGTCTATAATTAAAGTGTATTATTAAGAAGTAAACATAATTCATATACATTTATAGAAAATTATTTTAGTTAGTTTATTTATTAACAATTATTTAAGTTGGCGATTTTCCTTCTTGCTTAACTAGGCTTAGAACTAGCAGAAAAGTTTTAAATTCGAATTTTCAATTCAATTTCAAAATTCAACTCTATTATCCGCAGGTTTACCTGATTTGCACTAGTCGCTGATTCGGCTCCGGTGGAAGAAGTGGTCGGAATTGTCTTTTTTTATCGAAGTGAGACCATATTTCACTAGCCTTACGCGACATTTTAAAAATCTATATTCAAAAATGATTAAAAGTCTAAATCAATTTAAACTATACTATGCTATATTATATTTAAACTTTACACATAATTGTCTGAATTACAACTACCTATGCATAAAATATACACAAATATTGCAAATAAATGCACAAACGCAACGTTAAAATTAATAACTTAATGGATGTTATTAGGTATCTTAGCGAATGACACGAGCACGAGCCACCAATACTAAGTGCGTAATTGTTGCGTTCTAGAAAAAAGCAAATTCTAAACTTTCCATCCAAAATATAAAAAACATAAATATAAAGTTGCCTAAACCAATATATGATCATACAAATGCAAGTCTTGTCTATTGTTCTAAAAATCAATTAAATTTGACAACTCTCACAACTACACAAACTTAAAAATTAGGCAATTTTAATCATTTGAAATTCGACCTTTTTGCTTAAGGTAATTATATCCAGATGTGCATTGCGTACCGTGTGAAAAAACGAATTTATGATACCGTCGCAAAAACAAGAAACAATGAATATCAATGAAGGACATCGCATCGGATTAGTTCGTGGGCCGTGTTGGCATATCGTTCCGGTGTTTGCGTTTTGCGTTTTACAAATCTAAACCTTGTGCCTAATGAGCTAAAGATCATTTGAAATTTGATAACTCTCACGACTACACAAACTTAAAATTT